GCAAAAGGCAATGTGGGGATCCCATTTTCTCCACATATGTTTCAATGTTATCTGTATTTTTGGCTATACTAAAGGATATGAGATAATATTGAATTGTGATATTGATATGCATTGCCATGATAACTAGATATTTTCAATTTTTCACACTTAATGACCTCTATATTTTCTTTGTAAAAAAAATATTCAGACCTTTTGTTCTTTTTTTTTTTGGTTTTTCAAGGTAGGGTTTCTCTGTGGCTTTGGAGGCTGTCCTGGAACTTGCTCTTGTAGACCAGGCTGGGCTTGAACTCACAGAGATCCGCCTGCCTCTACCTCCCAAGTGCTGGAATTAAAGGCGTGCGACACGACTGCCCGGCTCCTTTTGTTTTTTATTGTGTGTGAGAGATGAATCTTAATGTATCTCTGGCTGGCCTTAGACCTGTTATGTAGCTCAAGATGATCTTGAACTTCTGATCTTACTGCCTCTGCCTCCCAAGTACTGGGATTACATGCATGTGCCACCATGTTTGGATTATGTGGTTAAGAGAATGAAACCCAGGGCTTCATGCATGCTAAGCAAGTACTCTACCAACTGAGCTACATCCCCAACCCTCTTTTGATTGTTGGTCTTGAGACAGGGTCTCCCTGTATTGCCCTGTTTGCTTAGACTCATGCGGTAACTTAGGCTGACTTCTCAGTGTTGCCATGACCCTCCTGCTTTAGTCTCCAGAGTTCTGGAATTACAGATGGAGGACACCACTCTGGTGCCTTTTCTCATTTTTTCCCATTTTTGTTTTCCTTTGCTCATTTGAAAGTGCAGTATTTGATTTTTTATTATTGAGTTGCAATAGTTCTTTCTCTATTCTCGATATATGTCCTTTATCTCAATATGTGACTGCCAAAAGTCTTCTCCTAGTCTGTAGACTGCCTTTTGCCTTTCATATTTATTTGTTCATTGTATATTTTGTCAGAGCAGGGAGGCACACGTGCCAGGGCATATGCATGGAGGTCAGAGGACAATTTACAGGAATCACGTTTTTCTGTTGTGGGTTCTAAGGATTGAACTCAGGTGGCACATACACTTTTACCCACTGAAGCATTTTTCTGGTCCTGTCTGTTCTGTTAGTGTCTTTTAAATTATAACACTTATTAATTTTGAAGTCAAAATATATACATATATGTGTGTGTGTATACATATATATACATATTGCATTATTTTTAATATTCCTTTAGGACCTATACAGAATGTAATTTTTTCTTATATTATTTACGCTTTTGTTATCCAAGTTAAGAATTTACTGCCTATTCCAAGGACATGTTTCAGTTTCTTAAAATTCTGTGTGAATTTCAGTTTAGTTTGTCAGTTTCTTTTCTTATTTTTTTGTAAGCAGAGTCTTGCCTTATAGTTCTGACTAGCCTGGAACTCCCCATGTAGGTCAGGCTGACTTCAAACTTACTTGCCTCTGCCTCCCTGATGCTGGGCTTAAAGGCATGCACCACCTTGCCATGCTGTTTTCAGTTTCTATATCCTGCTTGGATTTTGGTAGGTAATACTTTGATTCTGTAGATCAATTTGGGTGGGTATTGTGACCATAACATAAGTATTAAGTCCATCATATGCCTTTCCATTTCTTCAGGGCTCTTTAGTTGATTTTGCAATGTTTTGTAGGCTTTGTTTTGTTTCCTTGAGACAGTCTTGCTGTATATATGGCTCAGAGCTCACTGTGTACACAGACTGAATTTGGTCACACTTAAGCCAATCCTCCAGCCTCTGCCCTCCTGAATGCTGAGATTACAGGAATGCGCCATTATGCCAGGTTTAAAGTTTTCAAAGCAAAAGTTTTACACATCTTTTGCTAAGTTTATTTATGGCTTATTTTTTCTGATGTTATGGTAGCTGACATTTATCTTCAGATTAGTCATCACTACCGAATAGAAATGCAATTGAAATGAAGTTGATTTGTGTATATTGATTTTATATATTCTGCAGTCTTGTTGAGATTGCTTATTAGACATGCCTTTTAATGGATTCCATAGGATATCTCTATATAAATTTTTGTCATCTGAATCAAAAGTAGGTTTCTTCCCCCCTCCCTCCCACTGTCCCCCCTCCGTCTTCCTTATTTGGATGACTTTGTCTTCCCCAATTTGATTGCCACAGAACTTTAGAAACAGTGTGGGAGATAAACAATGGCCACTTGATGAGTGTACACAGTCCAGCCACTCCTGTATTGTATTATTATGGTATATTACATTAATTGATGTTTAAGTGTTTAACTCTGCATTCCCACAATCAATTCCTCTGTCATGAAGAACACGTCCTATGTGTTGCCAGAAAATTCCAGTAATTCATATAATTTTGTGTGTAGATTAATAAGGTATGTTGATTTTTCCTTGTGGTAGCATTGTCTGGTTTTGATTTCAGGGAAATACTGAGCTCAGAGAATAAGTTTGGAACTGTGCTTTCCTCTCCTGCTTTTGAAAAACTCACCGAACATTTGGCATTCTTTCCATAGTTGATACTGAGGTCATCTGGTCATGGGCATTTGTAAATTCACTTGTTCTTTTAAAAAGTTATGTTACACAAAAGAGGAGAGGTTAATTATTAAGTTAAAAACAGATTTATGTATACAAATAATTTATATACTAGAGGTGTATCAGTAAATATATAGCTAAGAAATTATAACTCACCGGGCTTTGGTGGCGCACGCCTTTAACCCCAGCACTCAGAAGGCAGAGGCAGGCGGATCTCTGTGAGTTCGAGGCCAGCCTGGTCTCCAGAGCAAGTGCCAGGATAGGCTCCAAAGCTACACACAGAAACCTTGTCTCGAAAAACCAAAAAAACAAAAAAAAAAACAAAAAACAAAAACAAAAACAAAGAAGCTAAATTGAAAATTGAAAAGAAAGATAATTGTAACTCATTACCAAGCAAACAAATTAACATTGACTTTAACTCTGGCTGTATTCAGTCTGTTCTACATGAATTTATTTCCTGACTTTGTGATTGTGATTTCTCCTCATTGAAAAGAATGTTTCTAATACTAAGTCATACTTCTATAATTGAAAAGTCTATCAACATAATGTCCCATTGCTTAAAATTTGGTGTATTTTCAACACATTTTTTACATTTAACTTAGGTTTATGTGTATGAGTGTACATGACTGATGCCCTAACATGCTGAAAGAGGGAGTTGAATCCCTTGGGACTGGGGTCACAGACAGTTGTGAACTGTCATGTGCTGGGAATTGAACCTGGGTCTTTTGAAAGACCATCCAGTGCTCATAACCACTGAGCCATCTCTTCAGCCTCAAATTTGCTGAATTTTCACTTCGTTTTGTTTTTTTTAAAGATTTATTTATCATGTATACAGTTTTCTGCCTGCAGGCCAGAAGAGGGCACCAGATCTCATTATAGATTGTTGTGAGCCACCATGTGGTTGCTGGGAACTGAATTCAGGACCTCAGAAGAGAAGTACTGCTCTTAACCTCTGAGCCATTTCACCAGCCCCTTCATTTTAATTATTAAAGAAACTATTTAATAAATCTGAAGTTTAAAAGTTCTTTTTATTTGGATCTCATCAAATTAGACACTGATAGAAATAAACTTCTTCCCTTAGATCCGTAAACTATGTTTTAAAAGTTGTGTATTTGCCGGGCAGGGTGAAGCACGCCTTTAGTCCCAGCACTTAAGACAAAGAAGCAGATGATGCATCACTGAGTTCAAGGCCAGCCTGGGCTACATAGTGGGTTCCAGGACAACCAGGGCTACATAGAAAAACCATGGCTTAAAACAGCAACAACAAAAATTGTGTATTTGCTAATAGTAAGATATGTGAAAACTCACT